CCCCAAAACCCCAAAACCCCAAAACCCCAAAACCCCAAAACCCCTATATAAAATAACTTAATTGCTAAAGTATAGTATTAATAAAATGGAGAAAATAGAGCCGTACTCTGCCCCTGTTATGTACAAGAATAGGAGCTTTAAAGGAGGCTTTGTATGTGGTTGTGGAGATGAAATTGACCAAGAGTTCATGAGTGTTCACCTTAACGATTGTGATGTCATGCAAGACCAATACGGGAATGTATTCCACGCCCTAAATGTCTTGATAGAAGATTCCCCCTTTAGCGGAACCCTCAACAATATTCAGGCTATCTCAACGTTTTTTAAAAACAAGCTGCAAAGAGTGATATCCCAGGTAAGTTGAGATTCACAAAACTTCAGAAAATGAAAGATTTTGATGGTTTCAGTCTTGTCAGTCTTACCTCAGAAATCCTTCATTCTTTTTTTGGAAAAAAATTTAAGGATTTTTCCAATAGTTTAGCAATTTTTGATAGCCAAACTTGTGTTAACCAAACCTAATATGTATCTTAACCTTTGATTTCTTTTTCTTTAAAACATTAGTAGCCTTCTTAGATATCAAAAATCATTTAAATTAGATAAAAATGATGAAAATGCTAAATCTGAAGAATTTTGGATAAGATTCACCTCATTTTGAATTGATTACAACATTTTCTTTAGGATACAATGCCTGCTAAAGATGACGAAGGTGACATCATAATGGATCCAGATAACATCGAAGAAAATGGCAATGTCGGTCATGAAGAAGATGGGCTCTTCATGAGCTGTACTAAGTGCCTTAAGAAGTTTGATGACTTTGACATGAGCCAACTGGTCTTCCTAGAATCATGTTCTCATATCCTGTGTAAAGGATGTTTTGAGCAAATTGTCAGAAGGGGCTACATCAAAAATCAGATGGCACAATGCACTAAATGAAATACCCAGATTCCTGAATATGAGATTAAAGGAATCATTGGTCAAGAAGTATTCGAGGCTATACAGCATGATTCACTCAAAGCAATTGTTGAAGGAGATGTGTCAATGGTAGTTTGACCATGTGGGAATGCAATGACAGTTGAAGAAGGGAAAGTTGACTATAATGTGAAGAATGATAAGGGAGAGGTTATCTCAAGAAAAGCAGCAGAGCATATGAGTAAATATAGAGTTAGATGTGGAGGATGTAAAGAAAATTTCTGAACAGGTTGAAATGCACAGCCTTATCACATTGGTAAAACTTGTGAAGAACACAAAGAGTTCTCTGAAGCCATCAAATGAAGATTCTGAAATGAACCCATCCAAGCTGGTCATGCTGGTGGGGCCTTCAAAGATGTATGCAACAAGCCTGACTGTAAAAACATGGTAAAACAGTCCTGAGACAAAGTCCTTGAATGTGGTCACCCATGTAAAGGATTTGCCAGAGAGAAACAGTGCCTTCCGTGTCTGCATCCTGAGTGTGTTGAGAAAGACCCCAACAATACAATGGGTGAAGACGACGACTCGTTCTGCTCAATCTGTTTTGTGGCTGGACTCGGAGAACAGCCCAGCATCAAAATTGATTGTGGCCACATATTCCATGTTGAGTGCATTGCTGAGAAGATCAGACAGGGCTGGTCAGGACCCAGAATAACGTTTATGTTCAAGACCTGACCGAGCTGCAAACAAGAAGTCAAGGCTCCATACCACCCTGAAATCGACTCATTGCTTGAAGATGCATGTAAACTCGAACAAGAAATCAAAACCAAAGCTTTAGAGAGAGCCAAGCACGAAGGACTCGACAAAGACGAGCGACTCAAGAAGCCTGGAGACGCATACTACGAAGACCTGGAAGGCTACGCCATGGCGAGACTGTCCTACTACACATGTTACGAATGCAAGGCGCCTTACTTCGGAGGCCTCAAAGACTGTGGAAACTTGTTGGAAGCAGAAGCCAACTTTAAGGAAGAAGAACTGGTGTGAGGAAAGTGATCGGCAAAGAACTTGGATGGACAGGTGGACTGACCAAGGCATGGGAAGGATTATATCGAATTTAAATGCAGATATTGTTGAAGCCTTTCGCAATGGTTCTGCTTCGGAACAACACATTTCTGCGACCCTTGTCATCGAGTAGCAGGAAACAACAAAGTTGCAAAATGTCCTGGTCCAGGAAAGTGCGGGCTTACGATAGACCATCCTGACAATGGAGAAGAATTCGCACTAGGATGTGGGTTATGAAGAAATGCAGTTTTTAAAGAGTACTAAACATGCAAATCAGCTAAGAGTAACTATTAGCTTTGCTTTCATCAAATCTTACATCAATATTATTTTTTAACATAGGGGTTTTGGGGTTTTGGGGTTTTGGGGTTTTGGGGTTTTGGGGTTTTGGGG